CGAATAATTACAGTAAATTGTAAAGATTGATTTGATTGATTCGATTTCTACGACTTATCACCCCTTATGACCAAAATAGCATGTTACTAGAGGAGTAAAATTATAGTAAGCAAAAGCCAGAAAATATTCTTAGATTGTAAGAATTTTTCTTGTTTTTTTGGGTGATAATAATGAGAGAGAGAGGGGGTGGAAGAGAGAAAAAGTGGTGCGGAGAGAGAGGAAGGAAAGAATGAGAGTGATAGAGGGAATGAGAAAAAAAAACGGAGAGACAGGAAAAAGCGAATGAGTTGTCTCACTAATCTTCTAATGATCCAAGGTCACTTCTCTTAATGTCGGCCATTTTTGTTTTGGTTTAGCAACTGTCACATTCGTTGGGAAACAAAATGGCAAATAGTGACTACTGATTTGTGATTAGATACTTCCATTTTAACTTTTATTTCTTTCGTTGATTGAAGGAGGGAATCTGCATGTGTGCAATATATTATTTGAGTTTCTTTGTCTCCTGAACATTGTCTTTCACTCCGTTTTAAAATGTGTTTACGCTGCTCAGATTTGGCACAATCTTTTGTTCCATATGGAACTGAAATTTTACTGGAAATTTAAAAAGTTCAGGATAAGATTATACGACGTACACCTGAATAAAGATGAAGAATATATAGGCCAAAATATTGAGATAGACACAAGCCAGACTGGATCTCTCTCTCTCTCTCTCTCTCTCTCTCTCTCACGCACGCACGCACGCACGCACGCACGCACGCACGCACACACACACACACACACACACACACACAGGGGCGTTGTGAACGTACCGTTCAACGGATATACAGCTAATGTTCATTGGTACTCCGATAACTAAGACAGTCTGCTAGTAAGATTCATGTTATCAAAAAACAAAAAACAAGACAAAAAAAAAAGAAAAAAGAAAAATGAGTCAACCATAATTGGTCAGTGCGAACGAGCCTTTCCTTAGCTGCATAGTATGTGCTTCACCAGTGCTACATACAATTTTGAACTCAGAGCTGTTCTTCTCCTAGACCGGTGGCCACACAAGGATACACAACCCAGTCTGGGCTGATATTTATCCATAGGTGGTGGGGTAGATGGATTCATACGTTACCCAAGGGTATTAAGCACGTAAGCGAATGTAATGAACCCAATTAGAATTCGGACTCGGCTTCTGATTCCTCAACCTGCGCCGCAAGCCATTACTCTAGCGTGCCTCCTTTCTATTTACAGCTATTTAATTATTACGCGAGGTTCTGTAACGTTGTACTGAACTGGCATTGCGATCTTTACGATGTCTGACAGATTTGAACAACGTGCTTTTAAACATTGCAAACTGAAAAATTTAATTAAGAACGAAAGTATATGCCTAGAAAACTGGAAGTCAAAATATCTACAATTGAGAGAACAGAGGAAAATAGAAAAAAGAAAAAAGGTAAAAAAAACAAAACAATAAGAAGTGAGTGTAAAGGGAAAAAAAGACGAAAAGGACAAATAACCTCGACATTCTACACGTACACACAGACGCGCAGACGGGCGAACGCGCGCGAACACACACACAGACACACACACACACACACACACACACACACACTTTCGCACGAGCGCGAACGCTTAAACGCAGGCACACTCATGCGAGTGCGAACGTATACACGCACGTACGCACACATACACTATGAAAAAAATTGCAGCAATGAAAAGTGCATATAAAAAAAAATCAGAAGTTATAAGCAATCACTTGCTGATATCCCCTGACAAGTGGACGGAATGATTTTCGAAACTCGGGAGTCGGGATGCTGACGGTAACACCAATCAGCTAAGTGGTAAACCCTTTGCTTGTATTAATTCTAATATAATGATATTTATAAACGAATAACCTTTTCATTTACAGTGTTGTAATTAATTATTTTGACATGACTTTTGCTAAAGTTTGACATCATTTATTCATTGGATATCACTTACAATTGTAAGCATCATTTCTTTGTTATTGTTCAGTTATAAGATTCTTTTCTTTGTCTCACGAAGTTGTGTAAAATATACGATGTAGCATTCTGTCAGTATTTCTAGGATGATGAGTTATCCTTATTTATATTATTTACACCCAGACTATTATCATCGTCATTGTTATTATCACAACGTTTCGGACTTTATTAGTTGCTTGGGTAATCTTCAGAGAATTTCGAAATGTAGCCTTTATTTAATCTACGGTTGGTAGATTGTTCTCGTTCCGCTGACCATGTCTTCGGATATCTCATCTTATTCTTATTTATTACTACTCAGTTATTGCTTCTCTCGTTTCCCCTGAGTCTAAGTCTGCACTGCCCGAAACCTTATGATAATATTGTAGAGTAAAACTCAACCTACTACTGTTACAACGGACTGCTCCTATTTATAAATATGACAAGTAGCCACATTAGACGAGGATTTGAGGTGTATTTGATTTACTCGAGATATTCCGTTCTATGTATGAGTAAATAAACTTTTTCTTCTTCGTTTTCCCTACCTATTATACTGTTCCTTCGATCCCCTCTCTAACTGTGGCCTTCCTAATTCTCGGCTATTTTGAACACAGATAACATTACAACAGATTATAACAGAAAAGATGAGGACAACAGTCTGCGTGTAAATAATGCAAATCATCATGCGGTCTTCGAATGGAAAATTTTGGAGATCGCTGTTCTAGAGAATGAACAAAGAAATATTTCTACGCAATTAAGGAAACCCATCACTTAAGTAAGATAAGGAGACCAAATGTCGTTATTTTAAACAAAGAAAGTGGATGTCGAAAGAAGAGAAAATAAAACTGCATAGAAGGACTTCAAAATCTACCTCGATCCAGACCAGAGGACTAGGTCTAAATAAAGAAAAGAAGATAGTTGTAACGAAAGAGAAAATCACCTACCTCGAAAAAAGAGCACGTGTTTTGTGCGTGGTCTGCCGAACGAAAATTAAAGAAAATAGCAAAAACCTGCTATTTTAAGTATCAGAGAAACTATGCTAATGTTCTTTCCTCCCTGAATGGCATGGCCAATCAGAAAAATTGCTCGGTGGGTAAAGGCCATTGCTTACCGAGTAGAATGATTTTTGAGCTTGGTTAGTAAAAGTGTGTTTCTGCTGTTGCGAAGGGGAGTTTGGATTTCTGACCCCGTTTTTCATTACTATTTTGCCTGCTCGACTGTTTACAACTGATTCGCGATTGAACTTAGTGTTAGCACATGAATTTTTTTCTGTTTCTACTGACCCCATTGGTTGATACCCAAACAATAGTGAACACGGAAAGAAAATAAAATAAAATTGCAGAGAAACTCCTTTCTCAGTCCAGACGAAGAAATTTGATCCAGTCATCGTTGGCACGATAGGTATATTTGACTTCGTAAATTTATACCCAGGCCTCTCTTTGATGGCTTGCTTCACTCTCAGTAATAATGTTGCATTGTCACGACATCCAATGTGGCTTGAACGATCGTTGTTTAGCAGTGAGTTGCATCGCTTCAGGCGAATATTCCAGAGTTGTACCGTCTCGGTTTATCACTAAAAATCAAAAGCCATTTTGTCACTAGGTGAAATGTTTTCTTGTATTAATAAATGGTACAACGAAATGTGGTCTGCAAGGAAATGTTGCCGACTACTTGACAGTGATTGGGAGGATACAGTGAATGAGAGAACTTCCCTACCTTACCTACTCGCTGACATAACAAAAATAAATCACTGATGATTCTTAGGGGGAAGAACTCCTTCTTTTAGCAGGAAAATTTGCCTTCTCGTTAGTTGCTGATTAGTCAATTCAGGGACTAATGAAAAAACTCCACCACATCCTCCTACTTTTCGTTTTTTATTGCGGGACTTGTGGCCGCCTACTGATCCAGTCAAATATGTCTTATTTAAAACTAAGATATATTTCCAACAACCTGTATGGCTGTTTATTAGTTAGGAGATTTTTTTCTTCTTAATACTTAACCTTACATTATTATCCTTTATTCTACACACAATGTAATAATAATAATAGTAATAATAATAATAATGAAAAACAAACAGAATTATAGAAAAAGTAATATTCTATGGGACTTTTAAATTCAAATTCATTTTCCAATCTGAATCAAAAGAGATAGACCGTAAATATTTGCATATAAGGCACATCTTTGGGATACAAAATTATGTAAGAAAATAAAACACTCGTGTATAATACGCATGTTCATTTTTTCAACTTTTAGAATCTTAATTTGAACTAAATTTATTTTTTGTTCAGCATTATCCGGTTCATATCGATAAAAATATGAATTTATACAGATTACATTAGATTTTGAATCACAAACTTTACGAAGTATTCAAAACAAGCTCACGGGTGTGTTTCATAAGAAAATACAACAAATTTGCGACGAAAATATGTTCTCGATAAAAGAAACAAAAATATATATAAATACCCTTTTCCAGTGGCTAGTGGTATTATGAAGCAGCGTAATAAAATAATGGTAAGGTCATTAAAGAAAAGGCTGCGTTACGAACACACTGGACGGCAGTGAAGACGGCATCATTTTTGAGTCAGAAGGACAAAATGACTCTGTGAACGACGACAACGAAGATGAAGACATCTACAATGTTGAAAATTATTACTGACATTTATTTTTTACACAGAGAACAGTGAAACAGGTTATACTATAGGTAATACTTCAGCGGATAATTAAAAAAAAGAAAGAAAAAAATCAAGTTATTTTTAGTTCGTATTTTATACATTTTTGTTGCACGTTAATTAGTTTGGACCATAGATATAACATTCGATCAAACCGTCCCGGATATGAGAAGGAATTTGGCCGGATATACTTAATAGTTCGTTCTCGTGTATAATAGGTTTAAGATTAAAAATCTGGATAAAAATTATTATGCACGAATAATTACGGCAGCCATCGCAAAAAAAAAAAAAGATTTTAAAAAGATTGTGGAAACAAAGTGACAATTTTATCTGTCATTATTAGAGCACCTGAAACCGTATCCAAAGAGGCTTACGGCCACATCATATTGAAACACCAGTTCCCGTACGAAGTTAAGCAACGTCGAGCCTGGTCTGTGCCTTGATGAGTGACCGTTTGCGAATACCAGGTGCTGTAAACTTAGATGTGCGGGTGGTGTAATGGATACTGGCTCGGAATTGAGCTGCGTTTCAATTTCCGGTTGGTTCGCTATAACCACCTACGTGCAAATTGAGTCCATCTCTTCTTTACCCAGGTTAATTAGTAAGACTTGTATCACTAAGCCGTTATTATCCTCCCCCACCCACACACAATAAAACAGGGACAAATTCTTATAATCTAAAATATTTTCTGGCTTTAAATAACCTGCAAAGAAAGCGTGTCAATCAATCAATCAATCAATCAATCAATTAATCAGTCCCCAAAGAGCCTTTTCAGAAAGATTAGAAGAGGAAGAATTAAAAACTATTCAGGCTTCAAATTGTTTAAAATTGTTAATAATACTGAAGAAAGTACTGTAGGATTAAAGACTTGCTATCACTTGATCTTCATTGAAAGGCTTTAGATATAAGGGATGTAAAAACTCAAAGAGTAAAAAATAATAATGACTAATTGAAATTACATCATTTTGAAAAGTATAATAGTAATTTTTCTTTTTAGATCATATATCAGATTACTCAACAAGATCTAAAACTCTTTGCAGTCCAAAGATCGTCGTGGCACCAGAATGGTCAGTTCTTTTATACATTAAGTGGCGTTTCAAGTGGACCAGTATTGCATCTAGCCAACACTCTTTTAAAAGTCTTCCGGTTTCTTTTTTTGCTCAGAGAATAAGATTGGCGTGAAATATGACGGGAGAAAAATATTTGCCATTGGATGAGAATTGGTGTGAGGTGACAAGTTTTTAAGAGGGTTTAGAAGAACACCCTCTTTGTGTTTATGCTGAAACACACAACTTAACACACATGTATACACAGTCAAACATGAGTTGAAGTATACTTGTTGTCAACCAAAATACAGCATTAAAATAAATACAAACAAAAATGTCTTTCGTGTAGATATAGAGTTGGTCTATAAGGAAGCACACAAATAAAATTACACACAGGCATTTTATCCTTTATATATCATTTCTTTTTTTTTCTCTGTAATTCTTGTTTTTGTCTTTTTCCTTAGTCATTCCGATTCTTTATTTTCTTTATCATTCCAATTTTTTCTTAGTCATTTTATTTTCTCTTTATTTTTCTTTTGTCATTCTATTTTCCTTTTTTGTTATTCTCATACTGTCGTTTTCCTTTTTTTAATAATTTTCATTTTTTCCTTTTTTTCCTTCTTCCTCATTTTAATTCTTACCTTCGTTTTTCTTTCTTTTTCTTTCCTATTTTCTTATTACTTACAAATATTTCCATTCTTTCTTTTTTCTTTCTTCTTCGTCATTTCAATTCTTACTTTTTTTTTCCTTCCCATTTTCTTTCTTATTATTTATAAATCATTTCAATTTTTTCTTTTTTTTTCGCCTTTTCAATTCTTTCTTTTTTCTTTCTTTTTCCCTGAGATTTTCGTTCTTGTTATGTATAAATCATTTCCATTCTTTCTTTCTTTTTTCTTTCTTTTTCGCCATTTCTGTGCTTTTTTCTTTCTTTTTCCTTGCCATTTTCTTTCTTATTATGTATAAATCAAAATAATTCTTTTTTCTTTCTTTTTCACCATTTCATTTCTTTCTTTTTTCTTTCCTTTTTCTTGCTATTTTTTTATTATGTATAAATCATTTTCATTCTTTCTTTCTTTTATTCTATTTCTTTCATTCTATTTCTTTGTTTCGTTTTTCATTCTTCAGCATTCACATTTTTTCTTTATTTTGTTCGTCGATATTCTCATTGTCTTAGTCATTATCATTCTTTCTCTTTGTTTTCTTCATCATTCCTATTCTTTCTTACTGTTTTTCTTTCTTTTTCTACTGTTACTTTCCCTTTATTTTAATTCTTGCTACTTTCTTTCTTACTTTCTTTCTTTTTCTTTTTTTCTTTGTATTCCTATGCAGCATTTTATGTCGATCTTCTCTTTTCTTATTTTTTTTATTTTCTTCCTTTTCCTATTTTCTTCGTGTTTTTTACTTCTTTTTTCTTCTTCTTTCCTTTCCTTTCTTTGTTATTATGTTCCCTTTTTCTTTACTTATTTTATTCGTTTCTTATTTTCACTGACAATTTTTTTCACTTTTTCTTTTTTTTATTATCTGTTTCTTTCCCTTATACACATACAATAGTGCCTATAGATGCATAAAAGCTATTAAACCTAATACTACGTATATTTACGCACACACAACACACATACGTGTACACGCACATTCATTACAACATGTACAGTCAGATTATAATCATGCATATGCTATATAAAATATAAACCATTAGACAAAATTACTTATGAATAATAACGCGTCCTCTATTTTTTTACTACTTGACACGTATGCGCATGTACAACAGGGCACGCATGCGCACTTAACACAATTTTCTTAAATCTGAACTCACAAAAAGTTAGACACACGTAGAGAAAGACGGGCGGAGGGACATAATGGGCTTTTTACTCTTTCAAAGAAAGGCAAATCGTATTAATAAGCCAATCTTTAAGGAATAATATTTCGCTAAATTCCGAGGAAATCCGGTAAGTATGAATGAATGAAGAACCTTGTTTTTATTTGTGTTTAAGTCGTTTTGTGTGTACATTAGAAAGTTACTCTAAAATGAGGATTTTAGTTTGAGGTTATTAAACAAAACTGAAGAAGCTGAGGAAAGAAGGAAGGAAAGAGTAAAAAAAACTAGAGTGATAGATAAAAGAAAGAAAGGAAGGAAAGGAAATTAAAAAAGAAAAATATTGGACTACCGTAAAATCCGGTATTAATTATTAAAAAAACAAATCCAGTATTACTTATAGATTTCTAAAAACTTGGTATTAATTATAGATTGCTGTTAATACAAGATTCTAAATTCTTTAACTTAAAACTTATAAAAAGCAATTTCATTGAAAGTTTTTTTTACCCGAAAATATGCTTCTACCTTTCAACAATATTTCTTCACTGGAAATTGACGTCGCTGAAAGTGAACCTTCACAAATAGGAAGACTGAAATAACTTGTTTTTAACAGACAACAAAAATTGGAAAATAGATATTTCTGAGTTATGCATCAATTTTTTTTTCATTTTAATATAAGAATTTGTGCCGAGCGAATTTAAGATATATAAACTCATGCATTGTATGTACTAATAATTTAGTCAAATTCGAGTAACATGACTGTAACGGAAACAACACTTATCATCAGGAGTATGGATGAATTATTCTTGTCACACACACACAAACACACACGCATGTGCGTGTTTACAGTAAATTAGAAATTTACAGTAAGAAAATCCGAACTGTCTGAGGATTGCTTCATAACTTAAAGTCACGGTGAAGTTTTGTCTTTGACGTTTTTTGATAGGATTATTATATTGTCGTGCCCGCTAAAATATCAACTACAATATTTATAAACCAATCACACTTAAAAAAAAAAAACACTTACATCTTAAAACACACCAATAAAATCATAGATTACAAATCAGAATGTTTGTTGTATTAGTCATCATCATTTTTAGGTAGATACCGACCAAATATCGTACGGACGTAGTAGAAGACATACCACGTGACTTCTTAGGGCTAATTAGGAATAAATAAATAATTTAATTCTGGAGCCGATATTGTTCGGAAAAAGTGTATAAAAACATACGAAATCCGTTCCCAAAACAATATACACGCGGCTGCCAGCAAGCTACACACACCTCTCGCCGATGACCTTCATGACCTCATATCAAAAACGACAGCGTTGACAAACTCCTGACCACGGCATCACCGCCAACAGTAAGAAACAATCCGTATCTCTCGTATCCGTTTTTACTATGTATCACGCACACACATGTTGACTTTTCATAAAAACACACATATTACAACATTTTATTGTTTCTCACACACGTACACAAAGACAGTTTATATTTTATTTCAGAACTTTATCAACCCAAACAAAAGACATTACTTTCCAATCTATTATCAACTGTTTGTATTCCTATCATTATATTAAATCAGTGTTTATTTGTTGAAACTACGTCGTCTTTTCTACTGAATTTTATTCCTTCAATGAAAAGCGTTTGATTATTTTAGACGGCCAAATTATGAGCGACTCTGTAACGATATAACTCCAAATTTTAACTTTCAACGAAAATCCGAGTAGAAGGATTCCTACATATATATATATATATATATATATATATGTATGTATGTATGTAAAAATTTCAGATAGTGTATAAGTATAAGTGTAAAAGGACAATATGAATAAAGATAAAAGGAAAACTTATATTAGCTGACGCGATTCGTCTTCTGAGGGATTTTATCAAGGCAAGTACAGTTTTTGCTATCGTATATAAATGCTTGTTACAAAATAAAATATATCGCCCTAGTTGTCAGAAGATCGTGAGAGCGTAAAACTCGAGTAACGACTTGGCCTGTCCTTTGATAGGAGTTAACGTTGTGAAGCAGTTTTTGCTCTGTCTCGGTAATCTAGACATTGAGCACTTTTTTACTGAGTAGGTAGGTGTTTGACTTTAGGTCATTTTCTCCTTCCTTGTTTGAGATGTTCTCTTATTTAAGGTGTCAGGTCTTTTGGCATGTTGCCTGTTGGTTACACTAACGCAGTTGGTTTTTCTTTTATATATATATATATATATATATATATATATATATATATATATATATATATGGTGCGATGGATAAATTGTCGTCTAAATTACACAAAAATGAAAATAACATTGAGATCTCATTTTAACAGATATATTTACGAATATTACACAAAAATATCTTCAAATACTAAAACCGCCATTGGCTTCAACCATTGCCTCCAGACGACTTCGGAATCTTCTGCAATTCTTTTGGACGGTCTCTTTGTTTATGTTGGTAAATGCTGCCATAATTCTTGCCTTTAGTTTATCTTTGGTGTTACAAGGAGTTTGGTTGGTTCTCTCGCTCAACTGCGCCCATCACATAATAATCAAGGGGACTGCACTCTGGGGAGTTAAGTGGCTAGATGGAAGTGGTGATGTGGTCTCACAGCCATTACGGAGTTCTACTGGTACTGAGGACTTGCTGCCAGACATAGGGTCTTCCAGCAGCCATCCTCATTACCCAGGACAGCACTAGCTTCTCAGGGCACTTGATGTAGACCTCTGTGTTGATTCTGAGGCCCTCACCAACAAATTTGGTATTTCTTTTCTCATTGAATTCTTTCCAAACGTTCTGCACTGTCAACATATTGACACCCAGACACTCTGAAATGTTCGTATTGGAGCTTCCGGCGCGAATGCCAAGCAATACAGTCTGCCGTTTCCAAATTTCTGACGGAATGAATTGTGTTCTTTTTCTCACAGATGTAAGATATAAAATGACGACATTTTACTCATCGCACCCTCACTCTCTCTCTCTCTCTCTCTCTATATATATATATATATATGCATCGCACCCCCTTTATATATATATATATATATATATATATATATATATATATATATATATATATATATATATATATATATATATATATGCACGTTTCATTAAAAACGACAGACAAGGTACTACGGTTGAGCTTTTTATTTAATTTTTCTTGTGTTCTGACAAGAGCTTTCTTTTCTGGACAAAGGGTGTGTAAGAACTGTCCGAATGTTTTATATTTCCGGGCGCTTTCGGCTATACCTTTAGCCATTATCAAGGATGATTCGATTATATATATATATATATATATATATATATATATATATATATATATGCATGTTTTTAGGTTGTATAATAGTATCCGAAACAAAAGTGGAGGTAAGAAGACAAAGTGGAAAACCTTTTGAATGACACGTCTCGCCAACATGACGTAACGTGACGTGACATGGGGTGCGTTGGATTTAAAATCCGACACCAATGCGTGTACTGGCGTTTGTTTACATTCGTAAGAAACAATAGGTTAGAATTAGCAGTTTCTGCTGTTGGCTTAGGGGTAGAAACTCCGACTGACAACAAATCACTCGGATTTCGATCCTGACTTGAGGTTTTCGGGTGCTTAGTCACACTGAGGAGATGTGATACAGCGAAACAGTACTGTCTGCCAATGATATATATATATATATATATATATATATATATATATATAATTGTGTATTTGGGCAGCAATCCCTCTGTTATACATGTATCATTAAAGATGACAGTCAGCACAACAGGACGATTTTCACACACTTTATGTTCAGAAAAGAAAACACTTATACGAACACAAGAACATTTAAATAAAATGCTTAATTGCATTGCCTTGTCGGTCGTCTTTAATGAAACAAACACACACACACACATATATATATATTACAGTGTAGTAGCAATTTAACGCATTTGCATCTTACCATCTCTGATTACCCTCTTTCCCTGTGGGCACTTGTTTGCAAAACATTGCTGCTAAAACGGTTAATTTAAAAATAATTATAAGAGAGCGCTTTCTCACGTGTTTACAAAAATCAACATCACAACGATTAAAGTTACATTAAGATTGTTTTCGCAATTCACCTCTGAGGATAATCTCGGAGGAGATCGAAAGTACTTGGGTTAACAAGAACTACGTCGCTTTTCTTGATGAATTTCAAGTTTACATCAAGAAGACAATTAGAGAACTAGGAAGCATAAAACAGACTGTCGTCACGGGATGTTGACCTCAATATCCACTTTTATATATTTATTTATCTCTATCACAGATGTCGAACACTTTCACCCATAAACATAACATATCGGAAAACTATATTTTTATCAAATATATGTGTCCATATATATATATATATATATATATATATATATATATATATATATATATATATATATATATATATATGCGTGTGTACGTATGTAAAAAAAATCAGATATAAATAAAAATATATCTGTAAAATGACAATATGAATCCTTATTCATATGTATGTGTGTGTGTGTGTGTATGTAAAAAGTCAGAAATAAATAAAATTTATCCCTAAAGACAATATAAAATAAAAGATGAAAGGAAAACTTGTTTTACCAACACCTATCGTAACCTGATGAATCTCTACATTAACTTTGATAAATTCCTCAAGGTGTATTGGTAAAAAAAGTTTACCTTTCATTTTTATTTTATTTTGTCGCCACATACATATATATATATATATATATATATATATATATATATATATATATATATATATATATATATATATATATATACTTTTATTTTAGGATATTACATCAAAAACATGTAAAAAAAACGCTACACAAATGCAATCATGTTTCGATGTGTACTAACACATCTCATCAGGTGTTAGTAATTAACTTTTGTATTGAGCCGTCTTTTAAACTGAATGTTACGAACGTCAGAAATGGATTCTATTCGTTGTCATTTCATATATATATATATATATATGTGTGTGTGTGTGTGTGTGTGTGTGTGTGTGTTTGGTAATCCGTATGGATAATTCCAGGGAGGATATAATCCAGAGACCTCAATGTAAAAACAGAGCAAATATTTATTATATTATGAAACAGTCAACTTTAAGGGTTCATAGTGAATATAATTTATTTCTTTAGAATCAAAATTCGATTCTAATTCCTCTGATCAACATTTTCATATTACAAAATAAACGCTAATCGTACAGTAAAAATTTGAAAATTTGAATTTGTGCTAGAGCAGAACCTGTAAGCATTTAAATATTCAGAAGCTGACATATACAATGGGGGGTGTAGAAATAAATTTTCGTACACCATGAAAGTTTTTTAATTAACCTAGTTATAAGTTATGAAAAAACTTAAAATCTATACAATATTTCTACACCATTGCATAATGCTGCAATATGCAAAAAATAATTAGAAAACTTTGTTATAAATGAAATTATGTGTTATTTATAAAATTTCGTGGCGAAAAAAGTACTTGTAAAAAATGTGTCTTTAATATCAGTTTAAATCAGTTCGTTATTATTTGAGTTTGATTCTCAATGTTACACATTTGCGACTTTACTAGTTGTAGGTGAAAACCAATTATGTGTTCAAAACCATTTAAAAGAAATTACATTGTTTACATTTGGACTAATTATTATTTACATTGTTCGGACTGTTGTCTTCATCTATATTGTCATGTTCACAATAGTCCGAAAAATGTAAATAATGTAAATAATAACAATACCTCATCTCAGAAATATAGACAGATAATGTTATCCTCTTTGTTGTTATTATTACAACGTTTCAGGTTTATGCACCTCCAGCCTTCATCTGGCGTCTGTCAATCCAGGTGACCTCCAGGGAATTTCGAACTGAACCTTTTATTAAATCGACGGACGTAAATTTTCTCGCTCCGTGATCACTATCTAAGGATTCTTCGTTTTTTTTTTTTTTTTTTTTTACTTATCAGCAATTACTAGCCCCGTTTCTAATGAGTCTAAGCCTGTACTACCCAGCCCAGTGATTGAACTCACAATTACTATGTCACCAAACACAAGAGCCAATGATTTAATCCATTTGTCGCCTGGGAAACGTTGTGATAATAACAAAAAAGATAAGGAGATTAGTTCGAATGTAAATAATTTTATCTCTTCATCCTTTCATTATTAGTAGTAGCATGTTATCTACACAGCCGGGGAAATTTCTAGGGGACATAATGAAGAAAGAGGGCTTGGGAAATTTGTTGCTCACAGGACAGATTAAAAGCAAGAGGGACAAATGAAAACAAAGTATGACTTACCTAGAAGGCTTGTGTAAATGGATGACAGAACAGGATTTAGGAGAGATAACAAAAAGGCAAAAGTTTTAAAGGTCGCCTTATACGTGGAAATACATGGTACATACTTATTTTTATTGCTTTAAACGTTATTTCCATGATTTTCCATATTTGAGTAGACGCTGAGGAAATCGTGCAGAGCCATGATCGCCAACGCCCTGAAGGAACACAGCATAAAGAAGAAGAAGTGGGAGGAGGAGGACGGGTAGAGGGAGGAGGAGAAGAAGAAGAAAAGGAGGAGGAAGAGGAGAAGAAGGAGGAGTAGAAGAAGAAGGAGAAAAGGAAAAGGAAGGAGGAGGAGGACGAGGAGGAGAAGAAGAAGAAGAAGCAGAAGACTCATACAGAGAGTATTTTTCTGGTATGCCAGAACTGATTGATCTTTTTTTGAATTCTTCTCTTTTTCAGATTAGCGTACTCTTTGGATTAAGCTTAGATTACAACATTAAATAGTGTGAAATTAACGTCTTAAGATGTACGTTTCATAGAACGGACACTTGAGTATGGCCTCAAGGAGTTGTTGAAATCTTGAGGCTGCTATATTTTTCTTGGCTCATAAACAGTTCAAAACTATTTGGTAAATAATTGCACTGATTAATATCAAGCGTTATATTGAAACGACTTCTGATTCTAAGTTAAGAATGCACACACACACACACACACACACACACTTGTAATGATTTAATACGACCGATCATGTTTAATTTTGGTTTAATTAATATTGCATTATAAGATCTATCTATCTATCTATCTATCTATTTACCTATCTATCTATGTATCTATTCAGGCTCACGGCCACTTGGTTAATATCGAGAATTATATTTAAATGACTTCTGATTCCAAGCTAAGAATCCGCACACACACACACTTGTAATAATTTAATACGGCCGATCATGTTTAATGTTGGTTTAGTTAATGTTGCATTGTAAGATCTATCTATCTATCTATCTATCTATCTATCTATCTATCTATCTATCTATCTATCTATCTATCTATCTATCCCAACCAATTCAGGCTCACGGCATTATTACGTTGTATCAAAAGTTCCCGTATGACCTCCGATGTTAAGTAATGTCGACCCGGTTATGGGTGATATCTTGGGAATAACAGGTGCTGTAACGATGGATGTGCGGATGGTATAATGGATCGCAATTAGAAAATCGGTGAGCTGAGTTTCAATTCCAATCGGGTTCGTTATATTCACTTACGGGCAAATAGCTTTGGGAAAAGTATGAATTCACCTTTTCTCCATCCCCAGCCATGGGTTAATTAATAGGACTATTATGAGTAAATCATTATTATCTAAAAACAATTTTTACAATCTTAAAATATTTTCTGATTTTAGATAACTTACAAAAGGTTGATAAACTGAAAAATAGAAGCCAATCAATCCAAGCTGTTAAAAAATTTATCTATCTATCTATCTATCTATCTATCTATCTATCTATCTATCTATCTCTGTCAACCACTGTTGCATTCGAGTGACGAGAAGTTTTTGTCAATGTATCTAACTATAGGACAGAAGGCCGCCAAAAGTGGATTCATGAATTTTGTTGGGGCATTATTTTTAATGTGAATATAAACATATACGTGAAGTTCGAAAGCACTGTGTGTGCGGCTTTGCCTTCCCTGTTTCACGTGTTAGTCATCGTTAATGCAAGCAAGCACTTCTTCCTTTAGCGGATTATAAACAGACACAATACACACTCAAGTAAAACGGCCGCCGTAGCAAACATTGTTTTAAGTAAATTAATTAAATATTTCCCTAGAGTTTTTACGCCTGTAATTTAATTTTGTTTCTAAAATTATCGCATCTGACGTAATTTTTTTTTGTTTTGGTGATTTTAGAAAACTTCGTTTACAACATAAGACATATAATAATTAGAAATGATTAGTCCAAGGAGGCTACCCATACTAACTGAATACTAACTGCCATATCTGGTTTGGGGCTTCTGTTATATATCTTGAAATTCTTAGCAAAAGAATCCAAAGAAGGATCCGTAATATTATTGGTCCTGAGCTGGCATCTCGGTTTCAGTCACTTTCTCCCCACTGTAACGTAGCTTCCCTGTGTCCTTTCTATAAATATTTTCTTGGCAATGGTTCTAATGAGCTTATTTCTTTGATATCTCGACCTCGTGAATTTAAGCGTAGTACGCGTTCATTTACTACAGTACAGAAACGGTATCATTTTACTTCCTCTTTGTTTGCCCCTTTTATAGTTCAAATACTTTTAGAATGGTCACCGTTTTGACCACTTCCCGTTAGCCGATAGTATATCAGGGGAACCACTCACAATAAAGGCATAACACCGAATACCTGATCGGTAGTTTTATTCTTCTGATCTCACCCCCAAAGTTAACCATTATCTGTTTGTAACTTTTAATAACTTTTCTCTCTACATTTGTCTATTTTATTTCCATGTTATTATTCGAACATTTCTTTAAAGTAGCCATATTGTATACGTTTTTATCCCTCTGTGTAGAATGCCTTAAACAAGTGTCCACTGTCCTTACAAACTGTTGCAAAACGTAACCTTCACCTACCTTCCTTTTCCGCGAAATAACCGCAACATTGAAATACATTCTCGTAGCAAACTTTATATATATATTCATGTAAACGAAATACTCGCTACCTTCCTTTAACCATTTAGACTAGGGGTCACCAAATGTTTTTCACAGAGGGCCTGATAACTGAGAGAATGGCGAGCATGGTCCAGATAACCATTTTGTTTAATACAATACACTGAATGCACAAAAAATAAAGACAACAAACATACTTATTTACTAAAAAGTTATCTAAGAAGGCGACAATAGCAATAAAATAGTTATATCACACCAAGTGCACACATATCCGAATCTCACAAACTATGCAGCACAAAAGATTAATGAGATTTGTGAAACTGGCGTTTACCTTTTAAGATATGATTAATATTTGTTTTGGTATTGCTGCATCTAACCAAGAGAAATGCTCACAAATGTTCATCAGTCAACCTCGTTACATGTGTTGACTTCACATACTTTAGATTTCAGAATAAGTTCAGATAAAATATAAAACATAATTCGCTGAAGTCAGTCCTTTTTATATACGACACTCTTCAAACTGGTTTAAACACGGCAATGCGAGTTAAAATATAATTGCTGCAGCCGGCTCGTCATCACTTTTCTTAGAAACTTCATTGCAGGTGCTTACACAAAAAGCGCTCGGATATCAAATGTTACCGAAGTTTTTATTTCACTGATTTTCCTAAAACTTACATTATTGTCAGACGCAAAATTCAGATTCGCCAAAGTTTGGCATTTTATTTACATTTATTTTAATTTTTTCTACATAGTAATTTTAACTATAATCTATTCATAATTTCTCATAAATAATTATAGTATAGCTCATTTGTGGCACAGTGAAGCGGTGGGCCGGATGAACTGACATCGGGGACCGGATCAGTCCGGCGGGCCGTAGTTTGGTGACCCCTGATTTAGACAGATTGTCTTAGTTTTATGTTCAAGCCTCCGGCTGCTTTTGTCATATTCCTTGTTACCCTTGTTTGTTTGTATTCTCAGACTGACTCATATGTATTTATTTTTTCTATTTTGGTCATTAATAAACCTGCCGATTTTTTTTAATAAGAAATAATGGGTTCAGTTCGACATTCCAACTACCTGAAGAAGGCCGGAGCGTACAACGGCCGAAACGTTGTGATAAATATGGCGACAAAGATGAGGACAATAGTCCGAATAATGTAAATAATATACATTCTTTCTTTTTTTTTTTTATTTAACTGGTGCCAATGTCATCGACATTTTCGGATATTTAGTTTTGATACTCCTTCTAGGTTTCTTTCTCCCTGCTCTCGAAAAGAACAGATCAGTAGAAATGTAACACTGCAGTCTGCTTTGTGCGTACCCAGAGGACTTTGAGGTCCTGTTTGAAAACAATTTAAACTATTAAATTTGGAACTGATGTTTGCTCACTGAGATATTGATTGAAAATATAGATTTTTCACTATCGATTTGCGCTAATCTTTGCCGCGTTCCAACGAAACTTCGTTTTAAAGGAGGGGAAGCGAGCTTTTAACTAAAACCGAAAGCTATTATGAAAATGTGTTTATGCTTAGCAAATACTTTATTGTATTTGTGTGCGTATGCAGTAGAAAATGTTTTACACATAGACACACACACATACACACACACACACACACACACATATATATGATATATATATAGTTTAAGGTATGTTATATTTATGAGTAAAAGTGTTCAATATCAGGAAAAGAGCGTATATAAATATAAAAGAGGAGTTAACACCAAGTGTGGACAGCCTGCCCCCTACTTGTTAACATGTTTAGAGTAGGAGGCACTCAGTGAGAACCCATGCTCAGTGTTGAGTAGTACTTGATCCTCCAGACTAACTTGCTGTTACACCATGACGAGTTGACACACATACACACACATATATATAGATAATATATATATATATATATATATATATATATATATATATATATATAAAAGAGAGAGAGAGAGAGAGAGAGAGAGAGAGAGATAGATAGGTAGATAATATACATACATACATACATACATACATACATACATACATACTGTGTTTGTAAAATAAAATATTCTTGTAAGTCTAGATATATACATAATCAATCCGTACATTCAGTAAGTAAAAATAAAATCTTCCTGATAATTGTTAAAATTATAGCCGAAAGCGCTCGGACACAGAACAATCGGACAATTTCTACATAATTTATGTCCAGAAAAGAAGAAAACAAAAAGAACAAAAGAAAATTAAATAAAAATTGCACTACCTTGTCAGTCGATTTAATGAAAGTTGGATACAAGAGAGCTGCCCAAATATACAATTATATATATATATATATATATATATATATATATATATATATATATATATATATAAAATTGAATAAATTACAGACATTATGTCTGCTAATTTTTAATAAAATCCGTTCATACTCAAGAATATTCTTCCGTGTATTGAATTTAAAGGATGAGAGAAATGCGCTATGGCTGTTTGAATTTCGTTTATTTTCATTTCCAAGTACTTTCGATCTTCCTCTAAGATCATCTTCAGGGGTGCAAGAGGTACAAAACTATATGTTGTTCATTAGTATAAATATCTATTACCCCTGAAGATGATCTTGGAAGAAGATCGAAAGTACCTGGGAAATGAAAATAAAACAAATTTATGACTCTTCGGTAAATCGAATCGAGTTCTCTCAATCACTGTGTGTTCATCTAAAAATAAATACACTTAAATTCACCTTCATCCCTGAAGAGCTGTGATACAGCGAAACAGTCTGTCTGCTGTGGATGACAATATATATATATATATATATATATATATATATATATATATATATATATATATAATCCGTTAAAATAATCCAGGCGAGTTCTATTAACACAACATAGAATTTGAAATATGTTAAAACTGACTCAAAAAAGAGCGCTCAATGTTTATTTTCATTAAACAGAGCAAATTTTCTTTACAATTAGAATTAAGATACCTTTAGTAAATGACCCTTTTCACTTGCGAATTTTAATTTTAAAACTCGCGGGATTTTTAAAACTGTTTATGGTATCAGTTTGTAGTGTACTCTACAAACTGATACCATAAAACAGTTTGAAAAACTCTCCTGGATTATACCAACGGATTACTATATATATATATATATATATATATTTTGATTGTATGAAAAAATACATGTATGAATGTGTGCGCGCGATATTTATGCACCTCATCACATATAAGTATACAACACGCACCGATTAACAATACGAACCATTATATCACCCGCATATCTAAGATTACAGCACCTGATATTCCCAAGAATTCACCCATCTAGGTAATGACTAGGCTCGACGTTGCTTAACTTAGATGATCGTACGTGAACCGGTGTTTCAACGTGATATGGCCATAAGCCTGCATGAAAGGAGGAATTATAAGAATCTACTATGGAAGGAATAAAGATCCTGAGGGGCGATCAGGTTTAAGCAGTACAAAATGTCCGCTACTCTGATGTGCATTATTAATGGAAATATTCTTTTTTCAGTTAATGTGGAGGTTACTTTGTGATTTGATTATATGTTAGGTTTACCTCGTTTTCAATTACATTAAATGAGCGGGAAAATGATTTACGCACAATCAATTTACTAACTTGGACTACTGAACAAGTGATATGATCTTGTTTTATAAGCGCTTCAACGTGGTACAAATGTTAGCAACCTTATTTCGTGATATCAGTTACGACTGAGTTGTGTGTTCGATCCTTACTGGGTGCTCTGTCTTTGCGTCACATCTAAGCTACTCTTAGTATAATCGTATTCTACTATTTCCACCGAGTCTCTATATCATTCACGTTCCTGCGATATACCCAGAAAAATTCTCAGTACAACCAAGAAGCCTTTTCCATACATTATTTTGGTATTTGGTCAAATTTTGTAAAGTGGAACCAACTGAAGAACTTTTTAAGTACCTCTTTTTCTTTCTCTCTCTCTCTCGTGTGTGTGCGCCCATGCACGTGTATAATGTCAGATTTTATTATGCAAGTCAATGCTTTCACAATAAAATCGTTGTCAACCAACCGAAGTTTGTGAAATTTACAGGATATGTTTATATTCATATGTGCAATAGAGCGTATACCTTTCAGCTCATAATATCTCTTTCTTTAACATATGGATAATATATTGCCCCACTTCGCGATTTTTGCTTAACGAGGATAATTAATTGGCATATTCAACTATAAAATATATTAAAAGTTTTTTTAGTAATTCATTTCCAATCTTGTATTTTGTGATCTTTATAGATGCGCAGTTGGCTTTTAATATTACATTGATGAGTTACACAAATAAATCATCTACTGCAGTGAAAGTGTTAACAACGTTTGGATCACAGCTTTGGAGAAAAAGAAAATAAGCAATGTTGATATTTTTAATAAAGGGTGTTTCATTAAGACGGATCAAAGTCAGCAGTAAATAAATCAGTGTTATTGGTGAAAATTTCTTTCTTTATTGTATCATGTTATTTAAGTCATGGCAATTATGTGTGAAAAATAATATCGCTTAAATGTCTGCCAAGGTTTCGGCGGCACAAAATTTGATGTTACGTTGTTCAATTCCGGCGCGCGATGACGAATAGAGGTGTTTGGATTTTCGGCCATATTCTCGTGCACTGCAGCAATGTTTTCAGCTGAATAAACGATCACGCAATGGTGTTTTCACATCTGCCACCGAACCAGTTTGTTTGAATTTACGAACAATTTTTCCAACTGCACTCTCGGTTGGTCGATTATGTTGATCAAAAAATGTTTGAACGTCCATTTTCGCAATAGGTTTCGATAACTTTAACACATTGTTTGAGTTTTAATCTTTTCGTTGTTGAAATTGCCAAAGACTTAAGTTGTTAAATCTGAAATAAAAGAAAAGAATCATTAGACGCTTAAATTTAATTCACATTTAAAATAGGTCCAATTTATTGGAACACCATTTAATATATTTTTGAAAATCTAACAAATCTAAATTTTTATTTCTAAAATATTAATTTTTGAAAGTTTTGTTCATTAAAAAATAATAAAATAACCTGGTCAATTTTGCTCAATGGTGAATTTTATTTCTTTATCATTATTGAATTTATAGGTAAAAAGCAAACATTTTATTGTTAAAAAATTGTACTCACGACCTTTAGACTATTATTCTATCACGCTTATCTTTGAACTCCGACGACTTCTTGCTGTATATGAAATAAATAACTGCCGAAATATTTAGACATAATGAACTGCTTCACTTTTGTCAAATTTGCTTAGACAATTTTACTTTAAACGCACATACAAACATACAATAGAAATGACTGCTTGGAATAGCAAATAACACCGGATATAATTATTATTGTAAAAAAATATTCATTTAAATTTATTTATTCCTTTATAAAACTATTTTTGGCCCTCGAAAATCTGCAAAATATACGATGTAAACCTCATACTGAAAAATGTTTGGACACTGCTGTTATAAGGGAACATGGTCGAAGTGTCGGGAAGAGTTATTTTTAGGACAAGACTTTTGACCACTAAACCTATTTTGGAATTTGTGGGGTCAGTCTACCCGGATTTTAGTAAGAAAAATAAAATCCGCGTGTTGTATCCACAAATACAACACAAATTTTTATACAACATGAAGAAATTATCTTCGCAGAAAAGGAGGAAGACCAAACTAAATATGACAGTAACATTTATATAGTATTTGTTATATAGGAATAAAGTGTCACTACTGACATTTGTATTTGAACGTGGATCGCCGGTGAACAAACAGAGGTGATCTCATTAAACTAGGTAGATCACGTGACGGTGGAGAAAACGTATATATAGAGGAAGTCGCGTGACGTCTAGTTGTGTTTTGCCTTCCTAGTCTATCCTCCATTACTGTATTCGCTATTTCTCCTCTATCCCCTATACTATTCGGACTGCTATTCACTTCTCACTATACGAAGTACAATTACTACGAGTATTAATCTAAGACGTCTTATACGAGTATTATTCATCAGCGTATTATAATTGGTATCTGAGAGTACAAAGTCCTACTACGTTGGCATAGACGAAGTATCAAGCAAGTATACGTACGCATCATAAGAGTGGCAGCAAAGGGTCGTTTTAACGACATAATATTATACGTGTATTTCCATATTAAAAATCAATATTCTTTGTTGTGGCGAAGTCACTACTAGTCCTAGTGTTCGAAATGATTTTGAGTGAAGAAATCAAATAGTATGGTACGCCAATATGTGTGTGTGAGGCACACGCTAATGAAATGACCGATTGCGTGCGGTAGCAGTAATTTTAAAACACAGTGAACAAAAAGATGGGATATAGGACTTTCTTTCGTCGTGGTGTTGTATATAGAAAAATCATCGCTGACTTGTTGTCATGGTCTGTGTCTCTATGTTGTTGATCGAGGCTGATCTGGTTCGCTGTCTTTCGTTGACAGTCCTTCACTGACTGTGTCGTTGCAGATCTGGTCACTGACGGTCCCGTTGCAGACTGGTTGCTGACAAGCCGTTTCTGCCGTTATCGGTTGGCTCCGAATCGCTATTTGACAGCCAGTGCTCGACTCACGAATCCTGAGTTTTACGGAGGAGTGCACTCAGTAACCCGGACCTGATCTATGTCGAGGTCATTTGGAGTTCAACCGCGCGGGCGTAGTAGAGAGCACATCACGTGACTTTTCAATTCCAATCAGGTTCTAGAAACCACTTTAATTTGGAGCCGTATTTGTACAGAATTGTAAAATTTGTTTGTAGGCGTCTCTTACATGTTTGGGCTTCACTTATTGGCCGTAAATATAGGAGTTTGTATCACCTATTTGGTGACGAACAATTTGGCGCTAAGAAAAATTTTAGTTTGGATAATTGGTATTTATTCTATATTTTTTTTTTATAAATGCAAGATATATAAACATTAAAGTTCATATCTAATTCAATGACTAAACAACTAGTATTTCTCATGAAGATTAAGTTATTTTCTACGACTGTTGCAGACACTCCGGCGTCTTGCAGGAAACAACTGGAACAACCTGTGCTGGTGAATCTTCGTGATAGAGAACGGTAAGAATTTTGTTTTTAGCTTTAGTTATAGGGATTGCTGCATTGCTTTTTTTTTATTTACTAATGAAGAGTTTTAACTCTGATAATAATAAACCATTTGAATATGTCATTTCCTTGCAGCCAAAAGTCTGGAGTCAAAAATGCCGGACGTCCAAACAACAGTAACCAAATTGCTGCACCTAATAATCCCCATTCAGAAAAAAATGAATTTAACCCTCATTATATTAATATAAACGATTCTGATATTAACTGTCATTGAGAGTTAAGAATAAGTTTGAAGCAATTACAAGATTAAATGAGAATTTTAAAAAAATTCAAAAGCTATATTTGATTTATATTTATCGAAATATAATCGTTTTGAAAGTTAGCTTCTTAATGAAATTGATTGGTACGCTTTCATAGAAAACGATATTATATTAAAATCTATTTGCCCGAATCCAAAACGATTTAATCATTACTAAATGCACAAGATGAAATGATTTGATCAGTTCTCAAGACAACGCTTGATTTATTTATAATTGCTTTACAAGTTATAAACTATTATTGATTATTCCGCCTAATTAATTTTGGGATGAGGTATTTCGAAGAGTTTAAAGTCAGACTGTTACACACTTCAGACAAGTTTCGAGTTACTGAAAACTCCCACGTATATGTCCAGACGCGTGCGCTCATATAACTAAATGGCGGAAGAGTCGCTTGTCGTGGAACGATGTTTAGTAAAAGAGATATGCAGACTATTCATATTGCCGTTACTTCAGCTTTACAGAATATACCACGATTAAACTAAGGTTAACAAATAGAAGCTTTCACCTAAACGTATCCAGCTACTTTGGAATTTTGGAGAAACGTTTGCATAGAGTTGATGCAACGAGGTATTAAATTGGAAGAGTCATTTTTATGCATGTGCAACCAGGCACTTTCCTGTGGCATTATCAATGACCGAACGAGTAGATCCTTCACGTCTCATGTAATATATTTTAGTAGAATAATGCATCGCCCATGCTTGTTGGCCTCTTAGCTGCTGCCATTGGGCGAGGTTGTATATTGTGTGACAGAAGCGTTTACTCTCATCGAGCTAGTTGATTCTTCACGTCTCATAAGGCTCGTTTGGTAGAACATTGCATCACTCAGGTTTGTCAACCTTCTAGCCTTTGCCACTGGATGAGGTTGTGGACTGTGTGACAGCTGCCTTTTCAATGATCGAGCGAGTAGATCCTTCACGTCTCGTATAGGCTTTTTTGGTAAAAGACAGCATCACCTAGGTCTGTCAGCTACCATTGGACGAACCTGTGTGCTCTGTGACTATCACGTTTACAATTATAGAGCGGGTAGATTATTCACGTCTTATTCAGGCCCACTTGTTAGAACACTGCATAACCCAGGTATATCAGCAAGCCAGCCGCTGCCTGTAGTGCAGATTTTTCACCTTGCTACTTCTCAAACTAAAATCGCATTTGAAGCTCCGCAGACAATATTAAGGAGGACGCCAAAAACCAGCTTCGTGGAATTGACGGTAGGATAAATTTTTGGATCCTGAGAGAAGTCATTTTATAGCACCATCGACTTATGTAGGTAATTTTCTTCTTTGTTAAATATCTGGATATTATTCCGAGAGAATTCGTATCTTCAGAAGAGACGTCAGCTGCAAAGCAATGATTAGTAATCGCGTTCCACAGACTCATTGCGAGTACCACGCGTTGGTATTGGATGCCAAAATCAAGACAATCGGGACTTTGCAGCTAACTATCTTATTTAACTGTATCAGTTCAATGTGGGAAAATTGGCTTGTTACTTTCAATACCTCAAAACCCAAATCATCGTTCAGTTCATTAGTTTTTCCAGTCAAGATGAATTATTGGTCTCTTATGGCTCCAAGCTTTGTTGGGTCCCAAATTCACTCCAGCCCTAGAGTGGAACTCATGCATAAACCAAAAATTGGTCCACTCTCTGGATTTAATAATTTGTAAGTTTCGTACCTTCTTTGGCTTAATTAACGCCTAACGTGGGATGTTGAAACAGTATAACCAGTTAGTGCATAGTATTCAATTTTTTGAGAGAGGTTTAGCTAAAATTTAAAATCCGCCAGTCCTAAGATTATTATTAATCAGCAAAGTAGATAAGATAAAAATGGGTTAACATTTTTATGCAGTAATGGGTTTATTTCATTATTATTATTATTATTATTATTATTGAATATATGATAAAATCCTTCAGGAAAAAAAGTTCTAGCCAGAAGAGAGCTAGTAAATTAACTTTGAAACAAGTACGCAACCTTCAATTTTTAGGCGATTCTCCGAAATCCAGAAGATGGCCACAAACCCATGGCTATAGTATATAATACATTGCGAAATGGTCGGAAATACCTGACTCCATGCTTTATTTTAGCAAGTGTCATAGTCCAAAAATGGAGAATTGTTGGCATATCTTCACGGAGTTCGCAATCGTTTGCGCTGTCATGAGGGAAAGATTTATTATACACTCTGCAACTTCTTTCCTACCAACGCATCGTTATAAGCCTGTCGCTAGTCTATCGCTATTTCCATGGCAAATGTTCGGATGAGCTCTGTTATTTAGCCCCAAAACAACACACACACACACACACACACACACACACACACACACACACACACACACACACACACACATATATATATATATATATATATATATATATATATATATATATATATATGTGTATACTGTTTATACGCGCGTATCATGCGACTTTTGGAGACCTACTTTTAAAGTTAATGTTAAGGGGGTCGCATCATACGCGAAATATAAAATTAGCATATACACTGCTGGCCCTGGCTACGCCCTTGAACAAATTATATATATACATTTACTGTAGTCAAAAAGTACAGCTGTATTTAAACTAAACATGATTCTGATAAAACTAATGCTTTACTTAACTGTATCTAATAAAAATGCATGCAATATTCACATATTAGCATCGTATTATAGAAGGCAAACGTATTGAATATGCATCTTTTGCATTGTTTACGTTTATAAGATGTTTAGCTGTTCGAAACTACCATCTATCCTTTCCAAATCGACCGATTAAGGCAAACTACCACAGATTTTTACTTGCTAAAAGAAACAATTCTTATTTGAACTATTATTTTTATTTTATCATATAAAGTTAAATAAACATTTATAAAAATAGGGAACTCGTATGATACACGAAATAAATGATGAAATCATTTTTATAAGTTAAAATTTATCGATACTAGTTACACGATTATATACAATATATATATATATATATATATATATATATATATATATATATATGTTGTGTCGGAAACCTACCACCCCTCTTGAAGATGAACTTGTCTGCGTCTGTGAACAAAGACTTTAAATAGTGGCATGTCAGTTGACATGGGGAAGACAGAAAGAGTTAGTTATTGACTACTCAGGCGATTTCTGTACCTTTTTACCAACCTATTAAAACTCTTTTTATTGTTACGTGTTATTTGGCGTTTGTCTCTACTAACCCCAAATCAACATCATAACAATATATATATATATATATATATATATATATATATATATATATATATATATATATATAGAGAGAGAGAGAGAGAGAACAGAGAGTATTACACAAATGGATTTTGTTGTGCAATACTCTTTATTGGCTCTGTTATAATAAATACAATGAGCTCTTTTTGTGGAACAGTTTTAAGTCAGGTAGGGACTACTTGGTTTTAAAATCACCTTAAAAAGTTTCAAAATCCGGTTTTTGCAAGTTCTTAGGCACTACTGTTAGTTTAACGATAAGTTCGATCTTCACATGCTGCATTAAATAGTAAAACAGTTAAAACAAATTAACCCGATCTAAAATCCCACAGTATGGCTATCACCTTCTCTCCACTTAAGGTGTTGGCGGCAGTAGTCAGTTGGCGCCTACCAAATCGAAAAATATTTCTCCGTTCTATTCAGTCGAGATCTAACTGACACTAAATACTTATTCTCATTATTATACTTACTGATACACTCTGGCTATCCATTGATGTGACGGTCTTCTCCAGGAAAGGTAATCATTTTAATTTTTTTTTCTAAACACAATCAGCACTTCCTGGAACCAGCTTACGCCTTTTTTAACACATTTCCCATAATTCTATTTTTGCAATATTTGCTAATTAAATTCGAAAACGGATTAAAATTGACATACTGTCGAACAGAAAAGATGATAAATTCTAGATACAATTTCCTACTATTTACTCTTGGGTTACCCTTGGTTGGTTGACTAATAACTTATAGCGTTGAAATAAATAATTACTTTCCGAACACTCTAATATATAGTTTTTACTAAGATTAGATGCGCATACTTTGTCGTTTAGTTAACAGGAGGCGAATCAAAGAAGCAAATGTTTAGTAACTATTTTTTCTGCTTATTTTCAGGTGAAGAAGAAAAGGGTGGAGGAGGAGGAAGAGAAGAAGAAGTAGGAGGAGGATGCATTTTTTAAAAGTTTTACTTTATCTGACTTTTTTAGTCACGTGTCATGGTGCGACAGTATATCGTAATAAGGTTGGGCTCCATACAGCCCATGCCACGAAAGAAAAGAAAATCACAGTGAGATCACTCAAAGCACGGGTAGAAGAAGCTGCACCATTGATTAGAACTATTAGAGAAGTTGTAAATAAAAACGACCCCCCACAATCGGAGGATCGAGAAATTAAGACCAAACTGACCCGTATGGACGACTGGGTCATCCCGAAACCAGACTGGAGATTGGCTTTTATGAAATGGAAATCAACATGGCCAATCCACATTTACATATTTAGCGGCCTTTTTATATTAGCCGCTCTTCTTGTAACCACCATCCGCTGTTATGTCTACTGGCAAGAAGGTCCCAACAAACGGGAGCTCTTCGCAGAGGTTCTCACCACTTTGGTGTTTCTCTTCAGCTTGCTGAGAGCTACTTCCTTGCTGGCCGACGCCTACGGCCACAAGCAGCGGACAACGTACGGGGTTACTCATTTCATCTGGTCCATGGCCACACCCTGTTTGACTGCTAGCTACGCTGTACTCCTCATGGCGATACTTGATTCAACCAAAATGTCCCTCCTGCCCGAAGCCGCTCAACGATGGAGGTCACTAGTTGGTGTCACAGGGATCCATTTTGTGGTGGTCATACTTGGTGATGTTGTGTTGTTGTCGGCACCTGGAGCGAAGATTGTCTACGTCATCTGTCAGTTTTTGTCCACCGTTTGGGGTTTGATGGTCAGTATTGGTTATGCTTTCTTAGGATTGAAACTCTACTACAATTTTTGGTCAATGGCGACAGTTAAAAATGGTAATTACCTTTCATCTTCTTTTATGTGTCGTGTACCTTCAGAATTAGAGCAATTATGGCTCTTCATAAATTCATGTCTTTTATTGCATTTTTTACAGTAAGGTTCACCTGTAAAAGGGCTGGGCCCACTCGAGGTAGAGGGTTACGACAAGGGGCAGTTTATAGGAATAGGAGAAAAATATAACGGCTAACTCTATATATGAACAGGTTAAGATCGGAGTGATCGGGGAACCATCATCTTGGGAATATATTCCACAGAGCAGTGGTTCTCGCGAAGAAGCTGTTCAAGTGGAACTTACTTCTCACTGATCGAATACGAAGGGAATGTGGGTGGTTTGTTGCAGTGTAAGTGGCATGGCGGGTCCTAGCCGTGAAGGTTAGAAATGGTGGGATCAATAAATGTAGTTTGTCCAAGCACTTTCCATAGAAGTAGCGATAGAGCAGTGAGAGGCTCATTACATCCCGCCAGAGAGAGAGAGAGAGAGAGAGAGAGAGAGGTTGGAGGGTGAAAAATAAGTCCTCCCCAACAAGGACTCGGAGACGCTTTTGAACTCTATCAAGCCTGGAAAGCGAGAAGTGAGCAGCTCCTGCCCAAATATGATAACAATACTCCATTTTCAGTCTGATCTGGCTCTTGTAAAGGTCGAGAATAGGATGAGGAGTTAGGTACTTACTGGAAGAGTACAGGCAGCGGAACTTTTTACCTGCATCTTTAGCGATGGATCATATGTGCGAGTTCTATTTGAGGCCAGGTGTGAGTTTGAGGCTCAATATTCTCTCATGGCATGATGCCTCCTCGTGGGGACATTTGTTCATCGTGACTGGCAGTTTTTCGGGGTCCGAACGGCGGTGATGGAATGTAACTAGTTTGGTTTTGGAGGCATTGAATGTAACCAGCAAGTTTTTCCACCACTGGGAAGTTAGTGCTAGATCGGAAGTGAGGACAGCTACCAATCTTAAGATTATCAAAAGTTGCTCCTGTATATCGTCTTATCATCGGCATAGATGCTTACAAATGATCTAAGTATATTCTTAGGCAGAATATTTATGTAAATTAGAAAGAAGGTTGGTCCGGGAAGTGACCCCCTGAGGGACGCCTGCGTTGACCACCAGATCCTCGGAGGACTGTCTGTTACTAACTGCATTCAGGGATCTACTTGTTAGGAAGGATTTTATAATCGATATGAACCGTCCAGTGAAACCAAAGCTGGAGAGCTTGTGTAGCAAACTTTGTACCACATCTTGTTAAAGGTATTCGAAATATCTAAGGCTATGATTCTTCGGGTGTGTTTGTCGTCAAGAACCTCACTAAGTCTTTATGTAACACTCTAAGTAATTTTCACCTTCTGTCATCCCTCTCCCGCTTATGATAGTCATTCACACAAACACGTAATGTAGTTTACTCACTACTTTCCCCTGCACCTCTTCCTTTCAATATATACAGGGAGTGTTAAATTCTCTAGGTCTTTTCCTTCATTATTGTCATGGGTCCTTACCTATAACTACAGAATGAACTCTTCCTAACACTATGTATACTACGTCTCTCAGGAGAGAGGGATGAATCAAGCCGAGCTTCTCGGCTTGACGGTCGAACTCTCTGCTTTTGAGCAGAAAGGAACCCGGACGAGGTTCCGCCGAAGGGCAGAATCTCGTTCGGGGTGAATGACCAACCCTATCTCGTTTTTACGAGTTATACGGGCATTTTTTGGCTGAGCCTACGGGCTCAGGAATCCCACGATAAAACTCGACCTTGTGTCACATGCAACCCTCGTGGGGGGTGGCTAGATACCGAATCGAGTCGAGCTTCTCGGCTTGACGGTCGAACTCTCTGCCGCTGAGCAGAGAGGAACCCGGACGAGGCTTCGCTGAAGAGCAGAGTCTCATTTGGGGAGGTTGACCAACCCGATCCCGTTTATACGGGTTCTACGGGCATTTTTTGGCCGAGCCTACGGGCTCGGGAAACCCACGTTAAACTCGGCCTTGTGCCACATGCAACCCTCGTGTGGGTGTGGCTAGATACCGAATCGAGTCGAGCCGATAGTAGTTCACTCCAAACCAGACTGACAGTCATACTAACACCTTCCACATCTTGTATTATTATTTCGTGTAATATACCTTCGTTATTTCTACTCTTGTGTTCGTGTTGTTCTTCCTTGGTCCTAACCTGGACCATAACAATTATGTATCCCCCAAATTTTGTCTGTTGCTGATTATAAGTAAAAGCGTACTTCTATCTTATAATTTCCTTAAAACTTTTCACGTTGCTGGTATGTTCAGTCCATGGTATTCTCAGCATCCATTAATAGAAACACGTCTGTCGCTTCGAGTCTCTTCTTTATCCATGAAGAGACTGTCCAGCATACACTACCATATAGGAAATTAGATATTACATAACAGTTCGGCACTCAATGAAGTTTTCTCATATCTTAATACGTTGCTTAGTTTCTTAGACGGCATCTTTTTCTATTCCGATGTGCCTTCAGATTTCTGTCATATTTTCTGTCGTTACTACACTACCCAGATAGTTGAATTTCTGTAGCATTTTTGATGTTAGCTTCCCCAGTACGTAGCTCTGATCTTGAGCTGTCTCTTTTGTATCATTTATCTATAAAACTATAAGCTTTCTTTCCACAGACAACTCAAAAATATACAGTGCGTTTCGTCATTATATGGCAATAGTAATAACAGTCATTTTCTTATAAGGAAACATTCAGCATTTATTGACCGAGAAGCTAGTGCTGTTATCGGTTGAACTTTATAAAATCTTTCTCTTAAAACAATTTTCCAGGAAAATAGGTTTCCCAAGTCAAATAGGTTTCCCAATTTTCAGGAAAATAGGTTTTCTAAGTCTATTTTATATTTTAAATTTCGCACATGCTCGTTGTTTGTTTTTTTATTTTGTCGGCTGCACAGTATAGTAAGGTTAGTTGGCATCGTTTGTTAGAAAAAGAGCACCATGACGCAATTCACTCGGCCAGCAATTTGGAAATGGCATGCTTTACTGCTTGGCATTCGCGCCGTTAGCTTCAATAAGACTATTTCAGAGTGTTTGGGTGTCAATCTGAGGACAGTGCGGTGGATTCAGAAAAAGTTGGATGAGTCTAATGGGGATTATGAAGGTACGGCAGCTTGGAAAACTTACTCTGGCCGTACTGATAAAAAAAAGAACTCCTGAATTTGTTGGTGAGGGCTTCAGACTCAACACGAAGGCCTACACCGTGTCTTGATGAGGTAATGCTGCACTGAGTCAAGAGGGTGACAGTTGGAAGACCCTATGTCTGGTACTATGACACACAAGCAGGAGAACCTCGTCATGGCTGTCAGACAGTTTCTGTGACCACATCACCCCTTACATCTGGCCATCTAACTCCCCAGATTGCAACCCCCTTGATTATTACGTGTGGAGAGCAGTGGAGCAAGTGACAAACAAAATTCTTTATAACACCAAATATGAACTGAAGGCAAGGATTATGGCAGCATTCACTAACTTAAACAAGGAGACCACCCAGAAGAGTTGCAGAAGCTTCTGAAGTGGTCTGGAGGCCGTGGTTGAAGCCAACAGCGATTTTCTTTTATAAATTTACTTTTTAATATTTCAAGATATTTTTGTGTAATTTTGGGAAATACATCTGTTAAAATGAGATGTCAGTATCATTTTCATTTTTTCGCGTAATTTATACAACAATTTATCCATCACGCCCTACATATATATATATATATATATATATATATATATATATATATATATATATATATATATATGCCGGTTGTAACAGCAAAATTGTCCAAATCGTGTAAAAACGTAATTGTCCATCCCACAAAATATATCTAATATCTAAAAAAAAAAACACTAAATTAATTGAGCTTCTTTTTTTTTCTGGTTTTCAGATAAGACGTTTAGCTATCTTGATACAATTTGTCGTAGGAATCACAGAAAAATCCTTTGAGTCCTTCAAATAGAAAGAGAACAGGTTAAAATCGTTTTGTGCCAGCCTCACTGTCTTTCAAAATGAGCAACGGTGAGAGGAAAAGATCATTCAGCAATGGTACCAACATTTATACTCTGGCTTCCATCTTCAAAGTCCATTCAATAAACCATCAAGAGAACGGTGAATAAATTTAAAGAAGAGGGAACAATAGAAAGGAAAAGTTGATCAGGCGTTCACAGCAAGAAAAGGGATCATCATTAAAACTTAGAGCCAAAGAGATCAATTAGAAAAGATCCAACGGCACGGGAGAGAGGATTTTCAGCTATGATAGTCCAAAAAGCAGCGAAAAAAGACTTGAAAATTAAATCATACGTGAAACCTGTGACGCGCCTTGTTACTCCTGGACAGAAAGGTTAGAGAGGGCGAAGATCATCTTTAATAAGTGGGAAAATGATTCCGGAATAATATATATATATATATCTGAACTTTTTTCAAGTCTTCATGAGCTTCCGATCCTTAGTTATATTTAATGATGAACATGTCATTTTCGTTTATGATCGATGTCATCACGATTCTTCTGTTTATCTTGGAGAGTAATTATACATTCTTATTACTCAATGTAGAGGTCAACAGTGTTATAAAAAGCTCGGAAAATTCCAGTAAGATAACTTTAATCGTTTCCAAGATACAACGGTTCAAAGCTCAATCTAACAAATGGACAATTTTGCTTTTACACGATTTGGACAATTTTGGAGTTACATCCGGTATATATATATATTGAGACAAATTGCATTTTATATATGGATATCAATATTTTTAATGTAAAATTAATATTATTACATTAATAGTTTATATTAGTATTATTTCCTTGAGTTTCTGTTGTATACCCATTTCCCTCCGGGTCCCAACCAGAGACCTAAGGTCAGAAATGGTTTCATGATATCTTCCAGTGATCATTTTTTGTAAAAAAAAAAAAACATACAAAAATACTAAGATCATACACATTTTACATTAGTAAAACTCTTCGTAATGTGTGAGCTGTACTTGTGAGTACACTTTTTTTCTATTTCCTTAAGACATTGGCGACCAAGAATCCCTTCAATGAGTCAATCGGAAATTTTTACAGTCAGTCCGAGGGTTCTAACTACAACTGGAATTATTGATGTCCTCATATACTACATTTGTTACATTTCTCTTTTCAAGATCCCCGTATTTTGATAGTTTTTTTTTGTAGATCTACAAAGACACATTACAATCTGCATGGACTGTCATGTCGATAAGAAAGCACATTCTGTTTCTGTGGTCTTTGATCACAATGTCTGGGCGATTAGATTTTATTGCTCTATTTGTAAAGTTCCATAAAATTGTTACATGTCCTATCTTTGCAACCGGTTCTGGCTGATGTTCCTATCAGTTTCTTACAGTAAAATTTGCATATTTTCCACTACAGATATTGACCCACTCTATCATGCTGAGTTTTTAAGTGAGTGTGTACTAACACCGTGTAACCTAATACAAGATGGTCAATTGTTTCAGGATATTTATCACAGAATCTGCATTTCGGGTTTTCAGTATGTGTGCTTGGTAATTTATAGTTAATAAGTATTGGTCCTGGGCAGCAAGAATAAAACCTTTGGTTCAGCTTTTAACCCTGCCCTACATAACCATTGATGTTTTGTCTAGATCAACTTGTTTGGTACAGGCAGAGTATTGAGCACGAAGAGGCTTATCTTGCCATCGTTTCTGCATTTGGCACATTGCATTTGCTTTTGATTTCTTTTTTAGGTTCTTTGCTGCTGAAGTCGCTGTCTTATGGTTTATTTGTAATTCTTCACCCACTTGAAATTGCCTTTTTAATTTGTTGACTTCCTTTATTACCGAATAAAGTTTCTTATTTATTTCATGTTCATTGAGACAAATCATCATCCAGTCTTCCGTAGTTTCCAAGTATCTTTGAAGACCGATTGTTGTGGTTTTATAAGACAGTGCTAGTTGAACTAATACTCTGCCCCTTTCTACAAGGCAGACGATCAACATCAGCCTTAGGATGATGCATGCGGTGGCAAGTCAGAAGCTTTCTCGTTTTGACATCCATTCGATTAATGTCAGCTATGGTCCAGTTAAACCAAGGTATTTTATGGCTGATATTATTCTGTTTTGTGAATTCAACTCGGTATTTGACACAAGACGCACACGCTTCTAGTATTCATTTTATTTATTAGCAGTTGATCTTTGCAACCATATGAACCTTTTTGATATCCCTTCTGTTCCAGGGGAAGAATGTTGTTTTCATCGAGAAAAGAGTAAGTACACTGCGTCATAAAAAACGTGGTCAATTTATATGTGGTGAACAGATATGTTATTGGCCTATAATTTTTGGGTCATCTTTTTCACCCGTTTTTGGTAGGAGATAAGTAATACATTTAGTGATCCATCCTGGAAGTTCATTGGAGTTATTAATTGGTATTAATAAAGTTTGTGCAAGAGTTTTATGGATCGATGACAGATGATAGAGCCAAAATTTGAGTACCTTGTCATTTCCTGGTGATTTCCATTTTTGAGATTTTATTGCCTAACATTATTCTTCCTTATATTTTTTCATTCTTTAACAGGTTTATCCTTCTTTCTTTCTTTCTTTCTTTCTTTCTTTCTTTCTTTCTTCTTATTCTTCTTATTATTATCATCGCTTATTTTTCAGCCGTTCCTGAACCTCGAATATGGCGATTGTTTCTTCTCATCTGTATCACAGCACTGGTTTGCTCCACGGTCTCCCTCAGTCAATTATATTTTCTCTTCAGTAATTTCGGTCCTCTGAGTAAGGAGAATCCGGCAGACGCTTGGCCTTGGCTGCGACTACAGAACTTGCTTCGCTTTGGCGAAATCGTCTCATGTTTTCTCATATCAACAGAACTGTTTGTTGTGCTTTTTTGTAACGATCCGATTAACGAACTCTCTCTCAACAGTAGCAATAGTGGCAGTAATAGTCGCTGCGGTGACTCCAGACGAAGTTCGGCAAAGTTTGGCGGAAGCACAGATAGAAACTTATACGCTAGCCACTTGCTCGACTGATTAGTTCAAAATTGCCACAACGTTACACATAAGAAAAAGAAAGGTTCTTTTATTGAATACACTTTTTTTCCTTCCGGAAAATAAAGTAATCTCTCTTCGTCAACATTTAGCTTCTTCTTCTTCTATAAGCCATGTCCTTTCAGGACGTGGACGATCATCTTTTGCTACAACATCTCCTTCTTTGTAGCTCTAAGTAAGTTTTAGCTTCATTTAATAATGATGATTTCTGTAAATTTTGAACACCTATCTCAGTATCCTCATAGAATTCAACAGCGTCATTAACTGAGACGCCTGAATTCTTACTCGAAATTATTCGAAATCATACAATAACGATTATACATCAGTAGGACTGTATGAATCAATAACACCGTACCTTGACAGCGAGGTGAATTTTGATCTGAAAATATCACTGTATAATATTCAATTTCTAAAACAACCACCACTAAATTTATTTCTTTGACAATGAAGGAGATTATGTTAAAAAACAAATAATCGTTCTGTAAATATATCCTATATTCATTATTGGGTTACAGACATACTGATGTACATATATAGTAGTTTTGAAGTGCCTACAAGAAAGAAAATGAAAATAGAGAGCAAGATATATATATATATATATATATATATATAATCAAATGTGGCGTCGGTGGTATCGAATCGAATCCTTTCTGATGCAGTCACAGTTCAGAATGAGTGATTATCGGATGCCGAAAATCCTCATGTATAAACAACTTTTTCATGGTAAGCGTAATGTAGTCCGTCCTTGGTTACGTTTCAAGGACAAGCCTAAATACAATTTAAATGCTGCAAAAATCCCTATAGAGGAGTTCGAACTTGCTGTTGAAAACCGAGCAAACTGGAGAAACCCCTGCTACCGAGGCATAGCTAACTTTGAAAAGAATCGTCTTAAACATCCGAGAGAATTAAGTACCAACACTAAATCTTGGGCCAATACATCAGCCCATATGACGGTCAACCTTCAGCATGTCACTCGTGTGGACTTGTTTCACAAATCCCGTTCAGGATTATTGTCTCATAAACATAAAAACTGAATTGAAAGACACTCATACGTCGAAAACGACGGAAGAGTCCATATATATATATATATATATATATATATATATATATATATATATATATATATATATATATATATCAAGGCTTTTATTTTTAACCCAATATTACTTAATATATTATTATTAAACGTTATATTTTAGTGGATACACGTATTTAAGTCGACGCCCTGTTTTCTAACAGTGGTAATTACATCTAACGACCTGTGTACTCGATTCTTAACAAAGAAAATGTGATTTCTGGCAGGGTTCAAAAGGGGGTTTCAATTGCGAAGGGGGACACAAGTCGAACACTACTGGAGGGCACATGTTCTAGGTTAAGACTCTCAAATTCACATGCCAGTGGGCGTAATTCTACGTTTAAGTGATAAGAAACATACGAGGGTATATCAAAAAGTAAAGGCAATTTCTATACAAACACTTTTATTTCCACTGATGAAGAACAAATGTGTATGACACTTTTCGACATAGTCACCCCCTGCACAGAGATGCACTTCTGGTATCGTTCAGCGAGCTTCTTTATCCCTTCTGAAAAGAAGCTTTTCGATTACGCAAGAAGCCACGTCTGCATCGGTTACTTGTTTGGGTATCCAACGCGCGCAAACTTCACCGTACACCTAGTCATCTTGAAATATGGTTAGTACATATCAGTAACTGATGTCCATACTTACCGCCACTTGTGCTAACGTGATTCGTCAATTTTCCCTGATCAAGACATCCAACCTTCTGGGTGTATTCTGCCGTGCGCGATGTTGATGGGCGACCAGAACGGTTTTAATCCTTTCCACTTGTTCTTAACGCCTTAACGACTTATACACCTTTCGTCGATTCATAGTGCAAGCTTCATGCTGTTCAAAAATCCGGCGATAGGATTGACTCTCTCTGCATACAGACAGAGCACTACGACGTGTTGTTACTCGATGGTGCGGTCGCTGAGTGGAGGTCCATACATCTCCCGCCACTCCACTGAATCGTAGAATGTTGCGCGCGGTTAGCTGACAGTCATCCCATGCGTGGTGTCGCGCGTCAGCGCCTCCTTGTTTTTACCACGTAATTTCAAAGTTGCTTTTACTTTCTGATTAACTCTAGTACACTCGCACCCCACACATATATATTAATATATGTTATTGCTATACGTTATTTATATAGACATAAATATTTAAGTAAATGCTCTGTTTATAATAAACAGTATTAACAGCATTTACCGGCATGAATGTCTGAGAAATCTCAGAAATTGTCGGGCTTAGTCCATTTCATAATATATATATATATATATATATATATATACATATTTATATATATATATTGTCTATATATATTTAATGAAACATGTTTCGTTAAATAATATATTGTCTATATTATTTAATATAACATGAATGAATGATAAATATATATATAAATATATATAATATATATATGTATATAAATTCGCTTGAGGATGAAATGGAACTAATGTCTTTGATTTAATCACAAAAATTAAATTCGTGGCTTTTAGCTTCCATTTTTGAAACATGGTTAGAACTGTGTAGCGAAAAAAAATCATATTTTAAAAATTAATATTTTAAATCATATATATATATATATATATATATATATATATATATATATATATATAAGAATTTTTATATTAAAAAGATATAATTACCTTGCCCTGTGTTTTAGGTATATAATCTAACCGATTTCATTTAGATTCTGTTTCGTTTTGTTTATGTTTCCTTCACTTTTGTTATTAAATATCCCAAATTGTGATCATAGAAGATCTGCCAAGGATGATCAAATATTCTAAGTTCATGGACGCAAATTTACTGTGGATGATCTAGCGATTAAAACACTTTTTAAAATTATCGTCTTAGAAAATTGTTTTCTCTTTATTTAAATCAAAATTGTAGTCAGTCTCGTTACGGTGAGTAACCAATGCATTTAGTGTGTTGTTTTTGTGTTCATAAAATATTTTATTTAAATTCCTTGAGATTTCTCTGATGTATTCATTGTGGCAATTATTATGGGTTACAGAGTAAATTCTTCCTTTACGCTGTAGCTTATTATTTTGTTTTGTATTAGATTATTTATTGTTTTCAACGTAGTTTTGACAAATATTATGTTGATCTTAGATACATTCTTTTCAATTGTAGTTGTGTTAGAGTTAGTGGGTAGAATATTTTTTAATCTTTGGGTTTGTCAGGAAGGACAGCATTTATATTTTGAAATATTTTATAAGCCTTTGGTTTCGCACTTAATATGAAAATAGGTTACCGGAGGGTCTTGAAAGTATTTTCAATGCATTTCTCCTTTGCATGTAAATACTGATAGGTGTAAATTCTGAATGCTTGTTCGTGTGCATGTGTAGTCGCATCGACGTAAACAAACGTAGTCCGATAAAGTCATACAGGACAAAATGCGTTACACGAAACTTTTACACTGCATATATATATATATATATATATATATATATATATATATATATATATATATATATATTATATTATATATATATATGATGCCATTGTATTTCAGATGTTTATATATATATATATATATATATATATATATATATATATATATATTATTTGTGTGTGTATATATATATATATATATATATATATATATATATTATATATATATATATATATATATATATATATATATATATATATATATATATATATATTTAGTTAGATATGTATATATTTAGTTTGTGACCCTGGGTTTCACGCTCTCTGCGATCGTCAGACAAACTATATATAGACAAAATAATATATATATATATATATATATATATATATTTATATATATAAACCTAATTTACGAACACAATTTATGTATATATATAATATATGCATTTATATACATATATTGACATAGTATATATATATATATATATATATATATATATATATATATATATATATATATATAAAAACCCGCATCTACGAACACAATGGACAAACGACCTGACTCTTTCGTAAAGCCCAGGATTGATAATGGTAAAACTTTGATTTTACTTGTGACACCTTAATTAAAAATGAACATAATTTATTAAGGAGAAAGTACTTTGAAATCATAATAATAACATTATTAGCAACGATATAAAACATTACATTACATCGGCATCCTTCTACGATTCCATTCTGAAAGAACATAACTTATATTTATATGTACGTATACACACACACACACATATATATATATATATATATATATATATATAAACAGCCCCAGATTAATGGAGTGCAATCCTACTGCGCCAGCTGACCACACAAAGGTGAAAACATTAGAACTTCTACTGGACAGACACGCAAACTAATACACATTACTATCCGATGCCCGCTAAGACATATTAGTGTTTTTTACAAACTTACATACATATAGAATTATCTACGGTCTTAATGCACGTGATACATGACTGACCAATGAGAACCGACCCAAACAAAATTGAAAATACCAAAGTTCTGTCTTTTTGCGCCTGTTTTCTCTCAATCTCTGACGAGACCATCATGTCGGCGGATTCCGGTCCATATTTGATCTTTAACACACACACACACACACACATATATATATATATATATATATAGTTGTATATTTAGGCAGCAATCCTTCCTTTATGCATGTTTCATTAAAAACGACAGACAAGGAAATATTTTACTACCCAACAGTGAAGACAAATATATAAATTTATCCAACCCTAAATTAACAGATGACCAAAAAGAATTTCTAAATTTAGGGCCAAACTGCCATATCCAACCTAAGTTTGACCTTATCACCAAGACAACTGAAATTGAAATTCTATATCAATCACTATCCCAACTTGCTACGCGTGGAGACATAGCTGTTCACCCAGACCTGAGAGACCTACTCAAAGCCGAAT